CTCCTCCTCCTCCTCCTCCTCCTCCTCCTCCTCCTCTTCCCTCTCCTCCGCCTTCATAACCAGTCTTATCTCTGCTTCGTGTTTTAATCTTTTTCATTTCTCTGTGTGTAGACTGTTCACAAGGCATTGAAGTTTGGTTGTTGATGTAAACACTATGTGTTGCATCCAAGAAGTAATAGACATGGCTTACCATACTACGTCACGTACATTAGCGTGCACTGTTGCGACCAGAGCTGTGTCTGTACAGCCATCTGGTTATGATGCAGGGAGGATTGAGAAGGTGAGAGAGAGGGGAAGGGAAAGAGGAAGAGAGGGGGAGTGACATATGGAATGGCCTGCAGGATCCAGGGAGAGCCTTGGATGTGGAAAACTCCAGCGCTTTGTCAGTGTTCTGGCAATGGGTCCTGCATGAAGAAGAAGAAGAAGATGTGAGGCACACCATTTCTCCGCACAGGAGGACAAATTATCTTCCAGTCCTGCTCAGCAAGTGTTGCCACTCCCCCCATCGGTGTTGCCAAGGAGATCCAATGGTCTCATTTAGGGGATTGGGCTGACATGTTCTGCACGCCAGGAGAATGACAAAAAAAAGACGTTCATGCAAGGCTTGAACGCAAGGTTTTGGAGAGTCACCAAGTTCCAAGGAGAAATCGGGCTGAATTTGGGACGGCCCGAGCTCGATGACAACCCGCGGCGCTGGGCAGTGCAAGTTGCAAGTTGCGGGGAGTGGTTTTGCACAAGTACCATCCTTCATCCCCTGGTCATATCTCAAAACAATCTCTGACGGAGCATCAACGAAGCGAACTGCCCGCGATTGCTCTTTGTGAGAAAAGGGTTGTGGCGCTGCTTCGTTCCAGATGATGCAGTTGTCCGCAGCGGCTCCAGGTGATGCAGGTGCTTCCTTTGGGAATGGAGAGTTGTTTCATAGCATTCACTTTCGCTTTCGGTTGACCCAGGCTTCATTGGTGAGGGAAAGAAGTGCTTTGGTGTAGTAGCCAAGCAGGTTGCTCCTTTTGGCATTGGGTATGGAAAAGGAGTACATGAGCTGGCGCTCATTAATTGTTACAGCTGATTGCGAATGCTTCAGAGAGGGCTGATTAGCCAATGTGAAATGAAGCTGCCTCCTGTGGTGCTTACTTTGGAAGGATTCCTGGTGTTAATGAATAGTAGGACATGTATGCTCTGGCATTGTGCATGAAATGAAGAGGAGTGAACTCCGACTACGAAGTGCAAGATTAGCTGGAACATGCAGCCAGCAAGCACCCTGATGAAAACCTGGCGGTGAGGAGGACCTGAAACAAAGCTGCCTGGCCTTGCTGTGCAAGTAAACTATCAATGGGCTGGCTTGATGACATGTAAGGAAAGGAGGTTCAGGAGTCGATTTGCTGTTGAAAGGAAGAAGAGTAGGGACTCAGGAAAAGGAGGGTGTTTGTGGCTGTTCATGCACGAGATCGGTGCCTTTGACAAGCAACAGGAGGCAGCAAGATGGTGTGGTGTGCGTATTGCGGGAAGGACCAGCTGCCTGAGGTCGACGAGGCAAATGGGTTCACATGCTGCACTGGATGTGGTAGGGTCATCGATGATCACCATTACTCGTCGGATGTGACGTTTTTGAAATCGGCGGATGGATCTAGTCATGCAGAGGGGACGTTTGTGTCGCATGGGTCAACGCCTCGGGCCATCACGAGTGCGGGCCGGCAGCTGTTTGGATACCAGGGAGATTCGCATGAAAAGACGCTCGGCAAAGGAAGGAACAAGATTTACGAGATTGCTGAACAACTGAATGTGAGGCCGAGGGACGATCTTGTCAATGCGGGCCATAGGCTGTATACGATTGCGGTGCAGCGTAACTTCACAAGAGGGCGGCGTGTCCCCCAAGTTGCAGCTGCTTGTCTCTACATCGCTTGCCGTCAAGAAAACAAGCCTTTCCTGTTGATCGACTTCTCTGACATGCTTCAGATCAACGTGTACGTCCTGGGTGCAGTTTTCCTGCAGCTTGCACAGTTGCTGCGGCTTGATGAGCATCCCATCATGCAGAAACCGACCGATCCCAGTCTGTTCATACACCGGTTTGCGGATAAGCTTGACCTTGGGAAGAAAATGCACGCAGTCGCGAACACAGCCCTGCGGCTGGTTGCCAGCATGAAACGTGATTGGATGAACACTGGGCGGAAGCCAAGTGGAATTTGCGGTGCAGCTCTCTGGATTGCAGCACACGTGCATGGCTTTGAACGGTCCAAGCGTGACGTGGTTTCTGTCGTTCATGTGTGCGAGGTCACTCTGACAAGGCGCCTCATCGAGTTTCAGATGACTCCATCAGGAGGGCTTACTGTCGAGGAGTTTGAGCAACGTGCGAAAGCGCTCGAGGCGCAAGGGAACATTCTCTCCCCTCCACCCAAGCTTCACAAAGTTAGTACGATGTCTTCCATGTGTGGAGATAAAACAAGTGCTGCACTTGGGGGTGAGCAGGAGGAGGTCGCCGAGGAGGAGGAGCGTGAGCTTCTGTGCGAGCACAAGGGCACAGGTGCCCCACATTTCTCCCGGGGTCTTTGCCGCTCCTGCTACGAGGAGTTTGCGGCGGTAAGTGGCGGGCTCTGTGGTGGTGAGGATCCTCCAGCCTTTCAGCGGGCGGAGAGAAAACGGCGAAAACAGGAGGCGGGCACAAAAGATGAGGACGACGACACAGATGACCCTGAAGCTGTGCACATGGGGAAAGCTTCGAAAAGGAAGCCTGGAAAAAAACGAAATCGGGAGGTTAGCTCTTGCGAGGAGGATTCTGATTACGAGGAAATATCTGTTTGCAAGAGTAATGGCAGCAAGAAGCAGGCACAGGGAAAGGGCGGCAGAGGTAGGGGCAGGGCGAAGGGAAGGGATGCAAGAGGGAGAGCCAGAGGTAGGGGTCAAACGAAGCAGCAACGTTCGTGTAGCGGATCAGGCGAGAGTGATGAAGACAGCTCACTCATGGAAACAGCTGCCAAGGAAGGAAGCACAGGGAAAGGTAGACATAGCCGGGGGAGGTCGAAAGGAAGAACCCGTCAGAAAAGGGCACAAGAGGTGTCCAGCACATCCGAGGAAATGGATGACAAGGGGGAGGAAAGGAGAGGGAGAGGGAGAGGGAGAGGGAGACAAGGGGAGGAAGGGGAGGAAGGGAGAGGGAGAGGGAGAGGGAGACAAGGGGCTTCACAGACTGCAAGCATGTCAGAAGATAGTGACTGTGATGACGGCCCAAATGCCAACCGCAGTAGGAGTGGGCCTGAGCTGACACTATCAGAACAACATTTGGCCTCGACGTCACAGGCGCCTGGGCAAATGGAGCTCGAACTCGAGCTTGAAGCAGCACTTTGTAGCAATGAGATGACTAAGTTTTTTGAAGCTGCCGAAGACGGGGGGATAGAAGAGATGCTGAAGGAACTCCAAGGAGCAGCAGACAGTTTTGAGGGTGGTGATGAGGTCATGGACGAGGAGCTCCTGCCGTCGGAAATAACAGATGCTCCCGGAACGGCAATTGAAAACGGAAGTTACGATTGCCTTGACGAAGCACGGAGTTTGATCCTTCAGGGTGAACCTGACAACACCACAGAGTGTCGATCCTTAAGGGCGAACCTGACGACACCTCAGAGCTTGATTCTTCGGGGCGAACCTGACCACACCTTAGAGCAGGGGGGGAAGGAGAAAGCCCAGACGACTCCGTTGCTACTAGGTAAGAATGGCGGAGAGGGAGATGGGGATGAGGTTGAGGATGAGGATGAGGATGAGGATGATAGATTCTCAGATATCGATGATGACGAATTAGGATTGTACATAAACACAGAGGAAGAGGTAAAACTGAAAACTATGGTGTGGACAGAACTGAATAAAGAGTACTTGGAGGAAGAGGCAGTGAAGAAGGCTGCACTTGACAGACATGAGGCAGCGCTCAAGGCCGCAGCAGAAGCAGCGGGTACAGAAAGCGTAGCAGCATTGGCCGCAGCTGCTGCTCTGGAGGTCTTCAACAGGAAGAAGGAAAGGGGAAAGAAACCAAAAGTCGCAAATGCAGCCAAGGCATTGGGAAGGCCAGGCGAAACGGCTATGGAGGCAGCGCAGCACATGCTGGCGAGCAAGAGGTTGAGTTCTAAAGTAAATTATGAAGCTTTGGCTGAGCTTTTCGGTGATGGCGATAGTGCACCAGGCATTGTTCCAGGCGCAAGTGAAGAACCAGGTCCACATAGAGATGAAGAGGGGAATAAAAAGAGGCCAAGGACCAAGAAGAGAGTGAGTTTTGCAGATGAGATTGAAGTGAGGAAAGGTGAGAATGATGATGATGACGAGCAGAAGGACGAGGAGGAGGAGGAGGAGGAGGAGGAGGAGGAGGAGGAGAAGGGTGTTGCTCCCAGTGTAGTAGGCTTTCCGAAAGGTGAAGAGAAGGACGCTGCCGCTGCTCGTGACGGTGGTGATGATGAGAACGGTGCGGACGATGATTTGGACGAGGAGGAGGAGGAGGAGGAGGACGAAGGTCTACCTGATGTCCATAAGAGGGGATTTCCTGACGAGGATGACGAGAGTACTGCTTTCGGTTCATCCCAGTACAGGTTGGCATATGATCACGATGATTTCGACAATGACCCTGGTGATGCTGACTTTTTCTGATTTGGGAGCACTGCCTGCCTTGGCAAAGAGAACTGATGCCAGATCTGTCATTCCTGGAGATCACATCTCGATTTTTTTTCACGTTCAGCGGTGATGATGCATGCCATTGCATGGTACAAAATCGTGGGGCGCGTGACAATTCAAGCAAAACACAGGTCCAGGCAGAAAGTGCATTGGAGGGATGAGAAGTGAAGTGTGTGTGTGTGTGTGTGTGTGTGTGTGTGTGTGTGTGTGTGTGTGTGNGAGAGAGAGAGAGAGAGAGAGAGAGAGAGAGAGAGAGAGAGAGAGAGAGAGAGAGAGAGAGAGAGAGAGAGAGAGAGAGAGAGAGATGATATGATGTCATTGGTCATGCAGGGTAGAAACTGCGCATGTCCACAGCTCAGTTTGATCACCTTGTAGAAACGGGAATCATCTGTGCACATTCCTGTGTATACAATGTACTCAGCAGAGGGGAGAAAGGTTGCAGATTGGGAGACACAAATATGAAGGGGGGAATGAGTTAGAAAAAACAAAATGGATGACTAGCTCAGTCGGAAATTGGAAGGGAGGGATGAGAGGGAGAGAGTAAGGAATTCAGCGCCGTAGAGGAGCTGTTGTTAACGATAATGAGGGTGATGAGAGCAGGTGTGGAGGGGAAGAGTCTCTCTGTTCATTCAACTCGAATGCATACGGAATATTGCGGATGTACTGTACTGTCTGTACACTTGCACCAACGCTTTTAACTGCTTCATCCTCTGGCAGTATGGAACAAACACAGGGGCCATGGAGACGTGCAGGGATGCACACTGCTGTTCTGATGCCAGTGTCTGTGATGCTCGATGCTCGATGCTCGATGCTCGATGCTCGATGCTCGATGCTTGATGCTTGGTAATCAACCTTCCTACGAAGCACAGAGGAACTACGACTATGATCTTTGATGGCGTTCTTCCCCTTGCAGCATTGGTGGAATTGCGGCATAATCAAATGCAGGACGGCCGGGACATGATTGACGAGGATGATGAAAACTCGGCCAAACTTTCAACATGGTTGTATCTGACAACTGCCGAGCAGCAGCATTGCCAATGGAGATCAGTGCGTGGATTGAATAGAACGACTGCTGAGCTAACGAGCGTGATTGACGCGGATGGCCGATGAGAGACAAGCAAGGTCGATCCAGATGAGTGGCGAGCCTGATCAGGGACAGGGAGCAATATGCGGAACATTATTTCGTCAATGGTTGGACCAGTTCGTAGTAGTGTATCTCGATGATATCCTCGTGTATAGTAAAACACTACGTCTTGAGGAACATGTGAAACACTTGCGAATGGTGCTACAGAAGGAAGTTGTGAATCGACAAGGTGAATCAATGCGCTGCTGCGCGGCCTGCCCCTCTGTGTGATCATCATATTGGCGCTATGTCGTAGTTGTTTTTTGTTTTTTTGAATGCGGCTTTGCATACCCTCTGCCATCCGATGTGCTTAGCATGTTCTAGGTTCATTGAACTTCATTCAGTGTTCAGTGAACATGGTCATACATGAAGTTGAACTCATTCAAGACTCAAGTGAAGAGAGAATAGTGAGAAGGAAGGAAAGCTGCGGAGAAGTCTCAAGAGAAGTGAAGTGAACTCAAAGATCAAATCTAAATTTCATTCCACCACCCCTTCTCCTCCTACTATCGCTTCCAATCTTCCAATTGATACACAAAGGTTCTGGACCTGGCACAAACTGAAGTTCAATTGATACACAAAGGTTCTGGACCTGGCACAAACTGAAGTTCAAGTTGCCCAAAGGTGCTGGACCTGGCATCGACGAGGGCTAAACTTCATCATAGTCTCCCAGTCTCTTACCGTTGAAGATATTCTCGAACTGAGCCTCAACAGCGGAGCACCCGACAAGGGTGGATGCCCCTCACCATCCACCGACTACCCATGCCGGAAGAGCTCAGAGTGCTAACTAGCTATGGAGGTTCCCACCCTCTGCCAGTTCATTACCGTGGTGAGTAACAATGTCCAAGACCTGCTCTTGCTTTTCTCCTCCTCCCATAGAACAAGTTGGAGTAGTGGGTCCTCGGTCGAAGAGTCGCAACCCAGGCATGAAGGAGTACACTCGCGGAGTCGCAGCCCAGGTATGAAGGAGTACACTCGCAGAGTCGCAGCCCAGGCATGAAGAAGTCGTACACTCGCAGCCCAGGCATGAAGAAGTCGTACGCTCGCAGCCCAGGCATGAAGGAGTCGTACACTCACAGCCCAGGCAGGCATGAAGGAGTCGTACACTCGCAGCCCAGGCAGGCATGGAGGAGTCGTACACTCGCAGCCGAGGGATGAAGGAGTCGTACACTCTATAAGCCAACAAGCTCCAGCATTCCTAAGGAGCCCTTCTTCCTCCTCCCTCTAGCTCTGATGATGTTGGAAACTCTGAAAATCGCTGGACTCAGAAATCCACAGATCAGCACCATGACGTCAGCGCTATGCTGGAATGAGGTCGTGCTCTATTGCTACCACTGCATGCACATATTCCCCATGATGACCTGGAGGTAGCTATCCGGTTGCCCCGAGGCCCTTCCTGCAGTCGCTTGACAGTCAAACGATGGGTGAAACTTTCACCGCGGGTAACTCTCTCCCATCTAGCCTAGGCATGTACTGTTCTCCACGTCTGATATACCTCTAAGCCTGTCATGCTGTACAACAGTGTACAGCATGGACCTGATACCGAACTTGCTGGAAAATCTCTTCAAGTACCCGAAGTTTCATGCAACGTTCACCTTTCTTTCGTGTCCCGTCGAGGCGCCTTCAAGAATCCACCGAAGAGCTAAGGGTTCCTGACGACTCTTTTCGCCAAATGGAATTAAATAGGCCGCAGCTTCACGGTGGTAATGGTGAACGCTGCGCCCGTCCATTTACGTTTCATTTCACTTGGAGTCATCCATTCCATCTGGCATGCTTCTGTTTAAGTCCATTAGTGGGTCCGGATACGCAGAATACTCGGACAAACGATTAAAAGAGATTTTCAATGATCATTGAAATGCAGCGATGTGGTGTTCTTTGGTGTTTTGGCACTAGGGCAGGCTTATCCTTGTAGAAAGTCCCGAATGCATGCCTTGCAACAAGTAAAGGCATGCTTATCCTTGTTTCTATACTTCTTATACGCTTGGCAGACGCCTGACCTGCCTTGTGGCCAACTGGTACATTCGTATAGCTACCATGAAGAGGGGATGAGCTCAAACTTCAAATCCTGCCTGATAGAATGTAAACTAGGGCCTCTACCCGTTTTTTGATGTTGAAAAACAAGCAGAGACCAGCCGCCATGCTGCCGCGGCAGAGGGAGAGGAATGGACACGCACCTGGAGAGGAACCACAAAAGAGGAGGGCAGCACCTAGGTAGTAGGGGGAGGGGAAGCAGACATCCTGAGAGAAGGGGGGCGCACG